GACCCGAGTCATTGGCTTTCCTGCCATTTGTATAAAAATTTCCAGATGTGATTGTTGATGCCTCACCTGGGACCAATTAAAGAAAGAAGGGATATCCAGAACCAACTGTGTTCATGTGGATGCTTGACTTGTTTGTGCACATCTCTGTTGCAATGTGTGTGTTTTAAAGTAAAGCAGAATTTCAGTTCAAAGAACTTGTGTTCTCTCCTAGAACCTTCCTTTTGTCTGTTATCCTTTCCTCTTCAGATTTTCCCTGTCCCATAAACCAGCATCAATTTGGATTTCTTAGACACTTTCTCTTCTCATACTCATCCTCACACTTTTACTGTTACACCTCCTGCTAAATGCTTGTGGCTCACCTTGATCACTGTGCTCTTCCATTCAGGCACAGCAAGTTCCCTGGAAGAGATTCCTGAATACTATAAACTTCCAGGAATCCAATGTGAAATCTCCAGTTAAACAACAGCAACTACCCAAAACAGGGTCCAGCACAGCATGTGGACCACTCACCTCCAAGTGAGCTTTATTCTCTGGTCTGTCTCCTGCCCTCGCTTTCCTCACCTATTACTTCAGTCTGTCAGTCTGCTGGGTCCATATTAATAGACTGTGCCTGGAGATGCCTGGAGATTAAACTCCTGGCTCTCCTCCCTTCCAGGCCATGTCCACAAAACTGCCTCCCAATCTTGGTCTCTTGGACCAAGTTTGGTCTATTTTCTTCACTCTGCTAATGACTGGAAATTTCTCTCTCTGTGTTTATTTTCTGTTGAGTTTCTCCGTATGTTTTTGTCCCACCCCAGAGTCCTGAGTGTATTTACCAGGCTGCCTCCCTGCCTTAGTCATACTCTGCTGGAAAGCAAATCTGAAGCTATCCAATGTTCTTCCATTCTTTTATTGTTGTTTTTGCAAGGAGAGTTCAAACAAACAAACACACCCCACCTCCCCCCAATATCTGGTGCCTTTCAGGAGCCTTAAACTCATGGTCTGAGTGAGTATGTGGAAAGAAAGGCAGGATGGTAATCCAGCTAACTTGAAAAAACTAGGCATGGACCCAAAGGAGCAGACTCTTTCTAATTTGAAGTATCCAAGAACAAAGTTTGTACTTCTATGCTTATCAGTCATACCCTTTAGCCATGATCAAAAATCTATTTCTGTGCTTCCCTCCATGCTTGCTGGTGTCACCCACTTTGCTATGTGGGCACAAGGCTTTCCCTGTACAAGCTTATATTTTAAAAGGGAAAGAATGCAGGGTCCTGTCTGCAGCAGGATTTGTTGAACAAAAGGGCTGGAACCAGTTCTGTGTAACTTCAAACCCAGTGTGGCAAGTATCAGGTCCAAAGTGAACCTTCCTTTCTTCTCAATTTTTAGCACCAACCAAGTGGATTCATATGTTTATGTTTCTTTTCAACACAGAGGATAATTAAAATACAATTGTCAGTGACAGTGTATGTTTTACACAGTCATTTGTTCATTAACAAATGTTTCCAGAATAGTTATGTTTTAGCTTTAGACTTTCAGCTAGGATTTTGTTCCTCCAGCAACAGATTTTCACAGCTAGTCTGAAATTGACAGTCTTAGTAGATGACATGTTAAAACAGGACTACAACTCAAGTGTAAATTTATGTTTTCTGTGCTTGTTGGGAAGAGAGAGATGCACATTCTAACCAAGTGATTCTAGTCTTTCTAAAAGGGTTATATTTTTTCCATGGAATAAAGCAAAGCGAAATTATTTGGTATAGCTGTGCCCTGAAAAAGTCTCTAGCAGTTAAAACTGTTCTTCATTTTTTAAAATTAGAAAAGGAACAAGCACATTCAGAAAACAAGGACATGACTATCACTTGCTCAGTGAAGGTTTTAGATGTCTGTGTATTTGAAGTGGCATTGTTCTGTTTAGAAGTTCTGGCTGGCATGGGTATAAACCTCTCAGACTGTGCCCATCAGTGTACACTGGCACCACTAACCCTTGACCCAGACAGCTTTCTGCACTGAAAGGTGAATTTTAGTTCCACTGTGATATTGTGTCACATGCTGCAGCTTCCTAGTATTGAGCCTCTCACTCTCCTTTTGTGGAGCAAGCAAGTAAGAAAATAAATGCAGTGATAGAATATTCCCCTATCTACTGTCTTGTTGCAGACATTCTGGTTACTCAGGGCTTTATTCCACACTGCACCATGGAGTGAGCTACACACAGCTAGTTCAGAGAGGAAGGGTAAAGATCTACTGAAGCAGTGAGTTTAGCAATGCATCAGCCAGGTTATCTCAGCTTCCTGCAGGTGCCAAAATTTCCCTGAGTTGGCTCTTTCATACTTGGCCTCATTGTCTTTAACCCTAGGATGGCTAGAGTGGTGGTTTTCACCCTTCCATGTGCTATGGAGAGGCTGGGAAAACAGTGCCCAAAGGGCAAGTGTGGAAGGAATGAGGCTGGGTATCTGGGAGCCAGGGGGATGGGACACAATGGCTCTGGGATGGGCCCCAGGGCAGTGAAGGAAGACTGAGGATAGAGAGAAGCTGTGTAAAACTGATCAAATGGAAGACAGAAGTGCATGGAGAAGATTCATGGCTGTATTAGAGCAGGGAAGTGGAGTGCTAATATACTGGTGGCATGATCAGGTATCTGGCAGCATTTCTTTGCGGTGAGGCCAAGCTGAATATTCTGCTGCATAAATGATTCCTCGCTTTGCAGGGGAATTTCTGCCAAGTCCCTTCCTCTTCTGGCTCCCAGGTCTGGGTGTCTTGATCAAGTCATGGGGCTTCCAACCAGTTTCCTGGCCACTGCAGACTAAGGTGGTGCCAGTACTTCTAAAAACAGCCTGCGCTCTCTCCTCCTCCTCTTCACTTTGGTGAATTCCTGCCTCCTCCCTTTCAAGCAATGCTTATTCAGCTTTCCTTGCTAGACTCTCGCCCACTCTGGAGTATACTGAGTCCTGACCTGAGGAGTGGAGTAGATAATGCAGGAGCGGCAGTTTTAGGAAATATTCACCCTTCCCTGCTATTATGAGACAGGTCCGTCTGCTTTGAGCTGCTTTCTACCTTCAGCAGTTGCTTGATTGTCCCAGCAATGCTTAAATGGACTATTATAAAGCTTTGTGGGTTTTTTCCTCCTATCTGGAGGAACACTTGTATTGTTGAGGATCTGCCCCAGTTCTTGTAATCAACACTCAGCTGTGCTTTAAATAATAAGGGCTGGGGGGAGCGGGAGCAAAGACTCCCCCAGGTACACGAGGGCAGGTATGGAGGTTGTTGGGGGAAAGGGAAGCTCAGTTGCGGCTGCGAGCAGGGAACGCTCGTGCCCCACTACAGCAGGGTCGGGGGCTGCCTTTCCCCACACATGAGCAGAGCCGCTCCATCAGTGCAGCGAAGGGCGCTCACCTCCCGCTCTCGGGGCTGTGGGGCTGTGGGGCTGTGGGGCTGTGGGGCTGTGGGGCTGTGGGGCTGTGGGGCTGTGGGGCTGTGGNGTGGGGCTGTGGGGCTGTGGGGCTGTGGGGCGGTGCCTGTCCGAGCGGAGGGGGTGATGGCCGGCAGGGTCAGGGATGAGGCCGTGAGCTGGCCTGAGCTCTTCAAGCAAGGAGCTCCCTGTGGGTCGGAGAGAGGTCTGTGGGTGAGGAGCAGAGGAGGGGGCTGCCTAAGGCAAGTGTCCGTCCGTGTTGTCTTGTGTGCTAGACGTGATTAGATTTGGCTGCCGCTGGGGCGAAGCCTCCACGCTGCGAGGGGTGGGGTCTGGCCGGAGGGGCAGAGCCAGATCCTCCTTTTATGTGCTGCTGAAAAGTGTCCTTTGTTGTGCGGTTGGCTGGCTTTGTCCCTTTCTGGAAGCAGTGCCCCTTTCTCCGGGCTTCAGCCCCGAAGAGAGGTGAGCAACCCAGTCTTTTTGTGTCAAATTTGAGCTCTGCTTTGCGCCAACGCTTGGATGTTGCGCTGACCCCCCGGGGGTCGAGAGAAGCATTTTTCTTGCTAGTTTGGAATTGTTAATTTGAAACTGTATTTGGCAAGGACCCAGCAAGGTGTTAAGCTACTTCAAATAGGGACTTCCCCCCCAAGTCCCTCCCCTATTTCTTCAACTCTTTGTGAAAGGTTTAGAAGAACAACTGGAAACAGAAACTCAAATAAAATCTGCTGTTCCTGGCCTTTCTGCCGACATGTCTCCCACAGACTGAATGATCTATACTCAGCAATTTCCCATAGAGAAATTAAGGCTTTGTTATTACAGTATTAATTTTGAGGAATATAACAGACTGGGAGTAAACAGCCCTTAGTTGACTTTACAAACCCCTGAGCTCAGGGACTGATAACTGTCCACCGCCTACAAACTGCCTACTCCAATCTTCCTGTTTTGGAGAGCTGCAAGATGTATACCCCACAAACCAGAGTTCAGTGGGTGTGAAGGCAAAAGGTGGGTGTTCCAGAGAGCAGTTTTCAGACCATGGATCCCAGGGGACTTGTCTCTCTACCAAGGGATAGACCTGGACTGAACACGCAGCTGTGTCCAAGGACAGTGCACTGTCAGTGCTGCATCGCTTCCCAATCCTGAAGGCTTGGCTTGTCCAGCAGTCTGTTTGCCACCTTCTTGCCCATTGCTTCTGCAATGTATTGATCACTATGCCATACTTTTCAAAGGGTTGTCATGCATCATTTTAGCTTGTCCAAAGCCAGGTGACAGGACAATGAAACAATTTTTGGATGACAGATGGGTTTATATTTACTGTGTATATTTATTGCTTTGATTAAAACAATTCTAAGACTACAGTGGCTGGAGGGCTGGCTATCTTTCTCTTAATATGACCCATCCCTCCTGTGTTGCCTTTGGCAGTATGAGAATGATGACTGATCTACAGATGCCTCCACTGCAGACTATTGCTGTCATTGCCCTGGGCGTGCATAAAGGTTTGGCACTGCAGGGGTTAAATAGCTCGAGAAGGGTGGAGGATTCTTCAGCCAAACCCAAACTGATTGCACCTGGTTTGCTCAACCTGTGTGTAAATGACACCGTGGTCTTCCCACCCCCACCCCAGCAAATGCCACAGGGGCTGCCAAGGTCTACGTGCAGGTAGGGCTGTGCGAGCAGGTGTGGGGCCCGCAGCGCTGGGAGGCTCCTGGCCCTGCCGCGGGAGCAGCCCGGCCATGCCAGTCACACGCACACGGCAGCCTTGGAAGCTGCAATCACCTTCAGCCGCTTAAAATTTGTAGCCTCCTGTTAAACATACATGTCAGCTACTGACAGACCTTAGTAGGGTCTGTCGTATTGAGCAGGAAAAGTGCAGATTTAGGTAGGCATGTGTCAGGCAGCCTGCTCAGCCCGTGGGTGCTCTGACTGCTCTGTCTTTGTGCAGTGATGTGGGTCTGAGTTCCCACGGCTAGGCAAGGCCCACTCACGTCTTTGCTCAGCTGTGCCTCTGTGACAGTGCTAGCTGAATGTACAGAAGAATTGAAAGCAAGGAGGTTGCTCACACATGTGAACTTTGCTGTCCTCAGGGAAGTAATGAAGTGTTTAGGTCCATAGACCTGGGACTTGGAATTTAGTCTTTGTGAATTTAAAAGAATTTAAAGTCTTAGGGAATTGCTAAGGAGGCAGTGAATTTCTTACAAAAAACTAGTCTAGAAGTGTGTTCAGGGAAATTATGCTTCTTTAAGTGTGGGTGCCTTGTGCAGCAGTGAAAATTATCACTATCATGCAGTAGAGGGGCTGAAATTATTTACATTTATTCCATCTTCCCCAACCCTGACTCCAGATGGAGACAGGCCTTCCTTTTCCAGTTCATGCTTACAAAGACAATTGTCACTGGGACATCCTGCTCTGCAGAGCCCGTGCTTCTTTACATGTCAACCAGAATATTATTAATTTCTTGCTCTGTGTCCCCTATTTAGACCAAGCATATATCTGTGGGTGTAAACAAGACTGTCCTGCTGAACATAAAGTTCTACTCAGCTCTTGTGGAAGGAGTTTGGCCCAGAGCTCCCAAAGGCTGACCTGTGTATGGGTTTTCTTTGGCATTTTATAAAGACTCTGAGGTGAGTGGTAAGGGCTGGGGAGATTCCATGTTGTGGCCCAGCTGGCGTGTGCAGCCACAAATAATAATTAATTGGCTCTTTAAGAAGTCTTGCAAACTCTTTTTTTTGTCTGTCTTAAGCTCCTTTTAATTAACTTCAGTCATGTCCCAACACATCATCTTGGCTGAATCATACACCTCACTGTGCCAGTTTTTTGCATTCCTGAAATACACAGGCCGCCAGTGTTGCAAATGCAGCTTGGAGGCAGCGGCTTAGAGGAAGTCGGGCAGCTCTCCTGGAACTCTGAAATTTTCAGGAACTGTTGTAACATCGAGAGGCAAAGCAGACCAGCCTCTGCTTCAAACTCCTGTGCTGCCCAATTCCCAACAGTGTTGCTGGCTTGTGCTTTACCCGCTGCCTCAAGGAGCAGGCACCTGTGTAAAAGCAGCTTTGTTCCTTCAGAAAGCCCCTTATTCGGGTTACAGTGCTTGGGGCATACAGCCTTTTTTTCCCCATTCAAGAGCTTGTTTCATTGTCACACTTCTTATTGCAAAGGGTCAGCTTTCAAGATTGTAGGGCATGTTAACAAGATACTCAGGCATACTTAGTCACCAAACAAAGTCTGTGTGGCAGCAGGACAAACTTTTGTGTCTCTTCACTGGAAAGCTTCAGGCCTGGTCCAAGGACCATTTCCTTCTTTTGAGAAATTTGGGGTTCAGGAATGTCTGTGCTCTCACCAGTGCTGGTAGAAATAATGCCAATGTTTCCATTGACTCAAAGCTGAACCAATACAGCTTTTTTGTCTCTTGATCTATGTGTTTGAAGCTGGAGGATTCTGCATTTGATAACTCAGACTCAATCTCAGCATTCCATTTAACAACGTGTTTAATTTACTGAAAATAAGGGAGGTCTTTTTGTGGTCTCTTGGTTGATGTTTAATGACAGTAGTTTTGATCATGGAGTTGTCCAACTGGGGTAAAAAAAAAGTGTTAACATACAGTGGTTAACAGCAGCTTTTAAAGAAAGGGGGTGCAGCATTACAGTGGTGAGGTTCTTTATCCATTTGAATAATGTATATTACTGTATTCTTCATTCCAAAGAATTTTTTTTAACCAAGTTTAGAAGCAGTCTCCAAATAAAATTATCATATTAAAAACAAAAAGGGAATTTATTCAGGATACTTCTGTGATGTGTGCTGAGGAATAAAGAATTGCATTTTACCTTCTGCCCTAATGAGATAGGAGACAAGGCATTATGATAGCAGCTTCAGGTGGTGTGCCCCAGGCTGCAGGTGAGGAGCCACGAGTTGCCAGAAAACTCTTCTCCAGCAATTCTTGTGTTTCCATAGCAGCTCGAGGAATGACTGCTCAAAGATTGTTGCTGTGTTGCACATTGGACTGTTTCAGTGACAAATTTTGCAAAGGTGTGAGGAAAACACATATGATAGCTGAGAAAAAGCAAAGAGGGAAAAGTGCCTCAGTCTTTTTGGAAAAGCATAGGAAAACCAGAAAATATAATTTCCAGCAAGCATTAGGTTGGAGCATAGGAGCAACATCTGGATTGCTGAGGGCTATACAGAAGCACTAAAGACAAAGGAACATTGCAATTGGATAAGAAGCATTCAGTAATGAGCAGGAAAGTAAAACAAAACTGAAAGTGCTGAAAAATGCCACATCAGTCCATGGAACTCAAGCTAATTCCCTCTGCATCTGGTGCATGATGTGTCACTGTGTACAGACTCTGACCCAGCTGCACCAGCTCTAAGGTGATGCAGAAGTTGCTTATGCTGAGAAGAAAACTTGTTAGGAGTCAAATAGCAAAACACAGTGAGAAAGAGAGAGAACTTAGAGCTGTTAGGGGGAACACTCAACTTTGTTGCCCACTCAGGAATGAAGAGTCTGCTGAAACACAAAGGGTTTGGGTCTTTTCAGCTGCAGCCTTAACAAAAGACCAGATATGCTACAGTGGGTAAGTTCAGCAATATATTTGCTCTGACATACTTTAGAACTAATGACTTGTTTTTCAGGAGCATGTTAGTCACTGCTTCCCAGGGAGAACATTACCATGGATCTGGATGCTACCAGACCTGAGGGAATGTTCACTCCTGGCACACAGAAAATCGCAACCCTAGAATGGGTTGGACCCCAAAAGAGATGCATTTCAGAAGGCTGCCATACCAAAAGTGCATGACTTTAACAAGAGGGTTATAAAAAACCCCTGTCATGGATGTTACAATAGTATTTTTGCTGAAATTCTTCCTCTCATGAATAGTAAATACTGGTTTCTAAAGCATTTACTGGGCACCTGTCCCACAAGAAGTGCTGGAACAGCAAAATTGAAGTGTGCTGTCAGAAAGAGAGGGCTGGACTTGGCCTTGAGCCACTGACAGCCTGTTTAATTTACTCCACTCAGTGAGATGCAGGAGAAGAAAAGGAAAACTGAGTCACTGGTTGTTAGAAATGATGAAAACAACTACTAGGACTTGTTGACAAAGATCCCTTGGTAGGTAATGTGCCTTTTCTCTGTGTAGGGGCAAGGCTACAGATCATCACATAGTGTCTTTAAACAAATCAATCAGTGATTTCTTTGTTTTTTGGGTTTTTTTTCATATTTTCACATCTTTTCAGCTATGATTTTCTCTCAACAGGGCACTTATGCCTAGAATCTGAATAAGGTGTTGTTTATCCTGAGGATCTGGTGTCACATGTGTTTAAAACCGAAAATATGGGCATTTTGGGAAGAGGACAATTTAAAATAGCTCTTTCATACTAGGTAAAGAAGTGAAAAACCCTTGCCACTCACTGATCCAGGAAGAGAAGAATATCTTTGTACAAAAGTCTGGGATGGCGTAATGCAAAAAGTAACCAGTGGTAGGGAAAAAAGAAAGCAGATAGCTCTCAGAAGAACGTGTGCTGACCAGCCACCAGCTGCCTTTGGAGAGCTGACCAGGCAGCTACAGGCTTGCTGACTTCTTCCAGCACACCACTTCCATGAAATAGTTACTGGTTCTGCTTCCCTGTGTTCCCCATGGCCCCCACAGGGATCCCTGGAACTGTGTGTGCATTATGTGACTCACAGGATAGAAAAGGCTGGGAAGCTCTGCTTCCCAATGTTTTTCTGTGTGCTTCCACCTCGGAAGGGTGGTTCTCAGATGTTCTGCATGGTTGTGTAGCAGGCAGTTTCAGCCTATGTTTCCATTTCCAAGGGACTTCAAAAGAGGAAGATACTCCCATTAGTGTTTTGCATGATAACAAGTTAGGCAAGCATCATTTTTGGATGCAGTTGATGGAAGACTGGTTACTGCCACTGCCAAGTGGGCGTCTAAGTTGAGACTATCAAATGATGTCTGTTGTATTAAATGCTTTGTTATGTTTCCGGCTTGGAAAATGATGCATGTGTCAGACAGAGCTTTCTGTTCTGGCATTAAAGCAATCTTGGCACCCGTTGGAAACTGTTTACTTTGAAAGTTTAATTTTAAATATAGTTTTGGAACACACTTGGAAATGTCTGCAAATCAACAGTAACAGACAGGAGACTAAAGCACTGTTTCCTTAACTCCTGTGTCCTTTGAAATACCTTAATCTGCTTTGCTTTGTGTGAGCCGCTTCTGGTTTGTGCATGATTTATTCACACATTATTTCTTCCTGAATTGGACAGTAGCTGAAAGACAGGTAGGAGCCAACAGCACAAAAGAACATAATGAACAGCACCATTTAAAGTATTTTAGTATTATTTAACCCTTTTTTGTGATATATGACTGGTGCAAGGAGAACATGTTCCACCTTGCTGAGCAGTCAACAGAGACAGCCTGTGTTAGGATCCTGAAGGGCATTCTCCAGTCTGCTGCAAAGCCATTGGACATGCCAACATGCAGTGCCATTAATTTCCAGCTACCAGAAAGGTTCTTTAGAGTGCCAAGCATGACGCCAGAATACAAAACACTTCATTCATCAAAGCCATAAGTAAGAAATTCTGTGTTTTTGGTTTTTGAAGTAACTTTTGTACATTTATGACTTTTTCCACATTAAGCATCATTTATGGTTTGGAAATTGTTCAGGCAAGAGGCATGTGGTTTCTGCTCCTGAATATCAGCAGCAGTTTTGCTAGGTTCAGTCTCTATTTTTTGTTGACATTTTCTTGGCTTTTCATTTATCTTTAGGGTGGACGTTTTTGGAGCAAACTGCCTCAAGGAGAGCCCATAACCTTCTTTCTAAATGTAGACTAAGTGATCTGCGTAAGGTGAAGAAGATTACTTTGGTATAGGGAATTTGGGTTCACAGCCAGATTTTTGCAAAGTACCTGGTGAAGAAATACCTTTTCTGGGATGTTCTCTCATCAGAACAACTGCTGGAACAAATTGAGAAGTAGGAATTTTACACCTGCACTATGAGACATAAGTTGATAGGTTTTTCCATAGGCAATGTGAGAAGTTACCGAGTAGCAGTTGAATTTTCAGTTAATTCTATTTGTGCTGAATGAATGGTAAAGGGCTACCTCAAGATCTTGGTTTGTGAGCTAGGAAATATATAAATTACAAATTGTATGGAGATTTCAAGACCCTCCTTTTTCAGGCCTTTCAATGCATAATTGTCACATTTCAAGGGAGAGTGGATGAAATTACATAAATATGTTCTCTGTGTGCATCAAAGCAGAGGTGACTGCATGAATTGGATGTGCTTTTGTTCCTGCAGCAATTTGGATTCTTGTGTTACTTCTTTCTTTAGCTGACCAGGAAGGACAGAATTTAGAAACGAATGCTGGTTTTTGCCTCTCTGTATTCAAAGCTCTGTCCAAAAGAACAATGTGTAAATGCTCTGTGAGGGTCCAGTTCTGCTCCTTGCCGAGTCCAGTTACTCCACTGAGTTGTGACAAACAAATGCTTCAGGGTGTCTGGATGCAGTGACAGGTGCTACAGTGCACAGACTCTGAGAGCTGTGGCAAGCTCTAAATAAATGCCTTTGTAATTCTGGGGTTTATAAGAACCTAAAAATTTCCCAGCTGGGCCACACCACTGGGGTGCTCCCACCCAGCCACAGGTTTTGTCTCTAGAAAGGGTAGCAGGAGATGCTATTTAGAGGCAGTTTGCAGGTGCTGACTCATATCTGTCCAGAGAAGCTCCTGTTGTCCTCTTCCCAGAATCTCTGCTCTGGAGCTTTGTGTTTCAGTTGCCCCTGAGGATTAGAGACCCCTTTTCTGTCATCATGTGGGATAGCAGACAGAGGGAGTCCTTGCTGTCTTTCCTGAGGTGTACTACCAAGAAAAAGGGCCCTGAATGGAGGTCTAATATTATTTTCCTGCTCCTGCTTGAATGAGGAATGAATAAAGACATACCTTACGATATATTAGTGGAGTTTTCTTCACTCTTTGGCCCTTTGCATCATGGCCCAGTAACTTCCAGTGCTGGGTGCCTCTGTCTCTGTTCTACTGCAGTGATCTTTGAGACTGAAGTTTGTGAAAGTTCCCTCCGGCAACAGCCCATGGAAAGCTGCCTGGAACATACAGCAAATAATGCCTAGAACCTCTGGAATTTAGGATAGAAGCCTGCTTGGAGGGAAAAAATGTTGCAGTTATATTTTCAAAATTGCTTCCTCTTTAGTGTTTGCCTGTATTCTTCCATTACCTGGCCATGAATATCCAGCTTGTCTGTTTTAGGCAAAGAGCAGGGCTAATTTTCAAGGAGATAAAACAAATTTTTAAACAAATTCTTCAGTTTGTTTTCCTCGCTTGCCTAAACTTTTTGCGTGTGCCTACTTTGTATCCCAGCTGCTTCTGCAATTCTAATATGCCTCTATTTCTAAACCTAGCTTCTCCTTCCTGGTGCTCTGAGCTAGGGGCTTGGAGCATTTCTCTCTGGCCTTCCACAGCAGAACAGCCTGGAACAGCAGGGTTTCATTCCCGTCCAGGTCAGGACCACAAGCTTACGCGTGGTGGTGCAAGCTCTCCTAGCTCAGTCTCCAGCTTGATTTGTGATGGTTTCCCAATAATGGGAAGAGATTATGAAATCAAAGAAAGGCGCGTAGATGGAGAAAGATAACTCAGGGCTGCCAGGGCAGCGCTTTGAGATCTCTGAATCAGATGGAGACAGAACTCCACCACCCTCAGCTTCCCCACCCTCAACTAGGACGTCTCCCATGTGCAAAGCAAAACCAGCCCCACCCCAGCCATGCCATTTTAGCTAATGGCCTAGTTAATAAATGGCAAATTCCAAGGGTAATCCTGTCAAAGCCTTCCTGACATCCTCAATTGATAATATTAACCACAAAGTGCTCTCCTGCACATCCGATTAATACCAGAAGAATTCTACTTGATTAGGTTATTACTGAGGGGAAATGTAGGAAAGATAAATATTCCAGGGAAAAACGAGGCTTTAGACAAGGGGGAGGTCCAGTGTCCATGGTTTGTAAAGCTTTTCACCTTGTGGGGAGGGAGAGGTTTGTGGTTATCTTCTGCTCCCCAACAACCCTTGCAAAGGATGTGTGTCCCAGCCCTGCTTTGACTGTTCATATCAGCTCCTTCGTATCATGTTGATGAGAGCATTGTAAGCCAGGCAAGTGCCTACATCTTTGAAGGGTTGCAGACTTTAAATGTAAATGGCAGAGACTTATGTAATTGTTCCCTTGAAAAGTCTGGCAGGGCAAAATTAGAGCAATTTTTGGGCTCTTGACACACAGCTGAGAGTGGAGGGAGGAGCGGAGGGTTTTTTCCTACCTTATCCCTACCATACTCCTTCCCTGGAAAGCTGGGACAGTAGTTTGGAGGCTGGGTAAGAAATACAGTATTTTGAGAAAGATACTGGGCTGCTGCCCTCTTACCCTTTCCAGAACTGTGGTTCTTAGTTTTCTTCTGTTGAGATGTCAGCTAGTCACACTTCTCAAATTGCCTGCAAATTCAGCCAGGCGTCACAAGATTCCTTATACACGGGCTTTTAAGTATTTATCATTCTGCAGGCTTCTAGAAATGTTGGGGGAAGGGGGTGTCTTTTTAAATGGATGTCAAGATTGTGATACAGAAAATGAGTAGAGCAGTTCTTCATCCCTCTTTTCTGATGCTGCCTTTGACAGCTCTGCTGCCTGCATCCTTGCTTCTTTGTTACTGGGAAGTACAACAAGGTTTGGTCATGTAGATATGATCAGAACAGGAGCAAATACTTGGACACACCTGAGTGGTTGTTTGCTGTGTGTTTCCCTGGCAGCTCTCTAAAACTGGGATCTGCTTCACTGACCAGAGTAGGCATTAATGGGAAGAAGACATGGGGAAGAGATAAAAGACAAAAAGGTTTTTGGAGCTGGATATGATTTGCTGATGTGTATAAAGAGTTGATGGGAGGAATAAAGAGGATAGAGACAGACTCTTAGAGATTTTTACTGTAAGGGTGTTTGAACATAGGAACTGGTTGCCAGAGAGACTGTGGAGTCTCCATCCTCAGAGATAATCCAAAATCCAACTTGACTGCTCTCAAAACACTGTAATTGAGCCTGTTGTGAGCAGGGCGGGTGGACTAGATGATCTCCAGAGCTGTCTCCATTCTCAGCAGTTCTATGGTCCTGTAAGCACACTTGCAAAATACATGTTAGAGGGTAGTTGGGATAAGCTGACTTGGGAGGTGAAACTAGCTTTGGAAGTTCTCACAGATCCCTGGAAATACCATAGTTGAAAGCAGCTTTCCATATTTTGGGGTTTTTTCCAGACTATGTGAAACATAACCTGCAGACTAATTGATAATCTCAAATGGGGAAAGGAGTGAACTGTAATACTGCAGCAAAGTCTCTAGAGAAAAGAAATTTTTAAGCTGCCTCAGTTATTTCAGACAATTTTGCACTTCAGCCCCTGTCCCAAAGTATGGGGCTGTACCATTCTCTCACATAGCAAGCTTGGCATTTGCCTGAAGGTATGAGAAGAGCATCTGGGAGGTTTAGAAGGGGAGAACTGAGAGAGCCCAAGGCTCTTAAACAAGAAGAATGGAGAAATGTGATAACATCATGGAGTAGTAAAGGGCTGGAGAGACAATACAGATAATACAAAGAGAATGGGTATAATTTGTTCTCAGTGTCCAGGGCATATAGGATAAAATTTCAAGTTTTTTAACTACAGCAAGGCTTTTGGGGGGAAAAACCCACCTTCATAGCAGTAAATGTAATGAAACCTAGGAATAAAGTGCAAATTCGGCTGTGGAGTTTATGAAGGAAATATTTAAAACAGAGTATAAAAATTTCAGTCAAGGATGGCAGACTGAGCTGACCTGCCTTGGGGCAAGCAGATGGATAGACCAGAAAGTCTCTTTCTGTCCTAAGCTTCTGTGACTCCCTAAACAGTGGGAGTTCATATGCAGCAGAGAGCTTGCCTGCAGGAAGAGGCAGAGACAATGTCCCCAACTCCAGTTTCTAACTCTAAAAAAGCAGGAAAAATTCATTTTACCATGTGGTTTTCTTACCCTTGGACTTTCTCAGAAGGCAAGATGCACCATCTTTTGTGGCTTTTCACATCTGATGATGTCACAATTTCAGAGTTAGTCCTGGGTCTAGCCCTGCCCTTTGCAGGGAAGCTCAGTACCAGAATTGGCCTTTTTGTTGTTATTCTATTCGTGGTTGTTCTTCTCCCTTGTCAATAGCCTGTCTAGAAGACCTGTGCCCTGCAATTATATAACTCTCTGCCAACATCAACATGTATAAAAATGTCATTGCACTCTACAGTGGCTCTTAACATGGAGCAATTCCTTAGGAGAGGGGGTGTGGTGGAAAGGCAAGTAACCTCCCTGGAGTGAGAGAGGCAACCACTGCTTGTTAACTTATCTTGTGAAAGGAGGGGAAATAAGTTGATAAAAATAATAAAAGGTCATAATGCAGAATAATTTGGGCATCAGTTCCTATACAAGAAATTACAAGATTACCTTCTTAGTCCAGTGAAAGATTGTAAATCCTGATCTGACACATCCATAGGGAATTCCCCACCAAATGTCTTACTCCCTTCCTACTTGTACCCTCCCACACCCTGTCCCAGACCACAGATAACAGTTTTAGGCATGCTGTGACTAAGCAAGAGTGAATAGATCCCACTGGTAAAGCAGGCAGTAGGGGAGGTGAAGTTTCTTGCTTTAAAACATCATCTCCAGAAGAAGCCTTTCTGCCTTCAAATTCAGCTTTGGGAATTCACTAGCAGCTGACCAGGGATTTTTAGGCTTCTGCTTAGTTCTAAGTTGTGAAACCATAATCCCTGAGGAAAAGAATTTCCCAAGTCTTCCTCAGCCTCCAGGTCATAGCACCTTTTCAGTCCATCTCTCATTTGCTGCTTCAGAGGAAGGCACCAGCCTCAGCAGTTTCCTGCTTTCTGCAGCCTGTGCTTTAGAGGAGCCTTCTCAAGTGTGGGTGAGCCTCACACTGCCCTGGAGAGCCAAACCCTGTAACGTGCTGGGAGAGCAGACTCTCCACTCCTGGCATTTCTTTATATTCCAGCCCACAGCCATTCCCTTTCTGAGAAACCTAACCACTCTGTGTCCTTTGTTCCCTCCCTCTCCACTCCCTGGACACATCCACTGCCATGAGTTGTCTCAGCCAAGGATTTGGAGCCAAGATATGAAGGAAATGCTTTAACCAGATGTGTGCCCATGCCTGTGACACTGAACTTTCAGATGCTGGTATTTAACAAGATTGCCATCTCCCCTGCCTCCCAGCAGAAAGGTGAGTAATGGGTGGGACAGCAGCATATCCAGAAAAACACCTCTTTTTGAAATGGAAGCAGAAGAGGTTATAATTCGACTGCAAAAATTTGCTCCAGGCTGAAAACTTGGCAAACAAAAGCTTAGCTTAGGAGTGATTTAAAAGGCAACAACAAAAAAAGCATAAAATAAATCAGGGCAGTCATTTTGGGTGGAGATGAGGGTCCAGAGCTTAAAGATCATTCTTTAGTGGGGGAGGAGAAGGAACAGCTCAAGACAGAATTGCATTTGGCTCTCAGCCCTACTATAACTGAGCCTTTCAAAGCCAGGAGAATAAACTTAATCCAAGTCCAGTCCCTAACCCTTTTGTCAGAGGAAAGCAATGCGCCCTGTACTCTTTAAGGCAGGGTGGATGCAGGTATGATGGCATTAGCTGAATTCTTCCTATTGCCACTTTCTAAACACGGATTTCCCTGTACCTTAAATTGTAAAATCACATGAAATCATTAAGATTCAGTTTTCCCAAGAGGCAAAGAGGGGCAACCCTTGTTTTCAGCATTATGACTCTCCTCAGGCCCTCTCTCACTCTGCTGTACCACGCCTGCTGCTCAACATCTGTGCCCTGCTTTTGCCTTCAACATTGCACAGAGCCACTCCATAACAAGCTGGAAACCTGAACAAGAGGATGACTGCTCCTTGCAGCTCTTACATGGGACTTGTTCACAGTCCCCAGGCTGACAAAGCTAAGGAAGAGGAAGAGCTGCGTAGCAGCAGAGACCAGGATACCTCTAGGGGGAAGGCTTTTTCAGATCATTATCTAATGTGCACGGCAAACATGGTTGGCAGCACACTAGGCACAGGCCTTGAGAGACAAAGACAAGGCCCAGACAGTTCCCCTGCCTTTTGTCATCTCCAGACCCCTGAGCCCCTCCAGCCTGTATGCCCATGCATAAGTGCATTGCAGACTCTGTTTGCAGTGCTGTGACTGGGAGATTTTACTGATGGCCTGGAGCCTCCACACATCATGTTAGGGAGAAAAGTGTAATGGTGACATTTTAGACAAACTCTTCAACCTGCAGAAAAGGACTTTACAGTGGAGTGGGTTAAACACTGGAATAAGTACACCAGCAAGTGTATGAAAGCTCCATCTTTGCAGATTTCAGAACTCAATTGGATAAAGACTAAAGCTACCTGACATAGTTTTGCTAATTCTCCTTATTGCTATGCACACTTCTAAAACAGCCATCCCCTGGGCTGCCTGATGGAGTGCTTTGGCTGTAGCAGGTACCAAAGAACAATAGGTTAAATGAATGATCAAAGGCTCCCTCCCTCTGCATGGTTTCACTCCCATGTTTGATTCCATCAGCTTAAAGTGACGCAGGCAGTCATGGTTTAGATGGGATGCTACTTAATTTTGCTCAGAAGAGGCCTTCTTTGAAGGGCAGCACAACTTAAACCTCTCTGGTTTTGCAGCAGGCTTCATAGTTTGCTTGCAGATATTTCTGTATGTGTTCACAGATCCTCCCTTCAAACACCTCAAGACTGTCTGAAGAACTCAGTGCTCTCCAGCACTCTCTCTGACCGTGCCTTGTTTTGCTTCATATAAAACAAATGCACTTTAATTCTGTCCTTTCTCCGGGTTTAATGAGGCAGGGAGAACCAGCCACTACAGAAACTTTTAGAAATAGGTCTCTTTGTTCAGAAGGCTTTGAGAAACACTGTGCTTTGCTTTGTACTTCTTGCAGTATTAAGAGATCTCTTACCTTTACTGCTGTACTGTATGATTTGAGATCAGGTTGTCAAAGCATCGTGTTCTGAATATCTCAGTAGAGTCAACTCACTGAGATGTTGAGGAAGGCTGTTCAAGATGCTGAGGCTTTCATGTATTGCCATTTCTAGGGAAGACTGAAGCTATAGAGCATGGAATCCAGCCCTTCTTCTAGCTACCCAAGGGCAGGAAAAGCATCTACAGACTGATCTTCTACAGCGGGTCTAGAGCACTGGAACTTCCAGTTGCATATGTTTTCAGGGTACAAGCCACCTCAGGAAAGCTGCTTTTCAAAAGGTATGTCATCTCTTGTTTAGACTAGAAAAACTAAAAAGGGGAAAAAAAGAAAAACATTTAGCTTTGGCATCAAAACAAAGCAAGTCTTTAGTTTCCCTAAGCTTCTTTAATTGTGCTTCATGCAAAAGAAAATGACACTGTAAAAATGAGCGAGGATGAAGGTAAAGACAAGGTACTGGCATTGGAGATAAGCTTAAATCAGAACCCAGCAGAAATAATATGGCAGTGGAAGAAGTTTAACAAGTTCATTTTATGTGCCACTGTGTCATGCTTCCCTTTGTTGCTCAAGAATGTTGCTTCACTGGTTCCTAGGGGTGTGAAAGGGCCATGCTGCTGGGATGATGTGACCCACAGACTGCATGAGCTACTATTGGGCTACCTTTTTATCTGGAAATTGTTGTTCTACGTGTATTGCCATTTTGCTATGGACCAGGAACCAAGCTTTATAGTCAGAGGTCTCCTGTAGTATGCCAGCTTGTGAAACAGCACTGTGCAGGGCAAAAGTGCAATGAGAGCAGGTGGGCACTCCAGCTGAGTCAAGGGAAGTCAGTATGCCTCTGTAGAAAGCATTCACACTGGTCAGGAGGCTTGAAAGGTACCCGTCTTGTAAAAAGCTAAGAAGTGCAAGCTAAATGCTCTTTATAATAATGGAGATCCCTCTGACCTTTGCTTTCAAAGGGAGGAGGCAGGACAAGACACTCACACACTGTATTGTGTGTACACATACACAGCAAGGGACAGGAGGAACCTCACACCCCTGGTCAGGAGAGTGCACTGTGAGTTTATGAGAAGCCCTGCCAGGTACACACTGCCAGGCTGCAAGGTTGTGCAGCCAGGCTAGAGCAGAGCTTACACCAAGGGCTGGCATCTCTCCCTCCTCTCAGTGTTTGTACACATCCTAAACTGCTACTGCATGGTCTGGTGTGAGTCCTGAGATTGGAAGAGCCAGCTGGTAGGTCTGCAGTGCATTGCTAGAGATCTTTAAGCCTGCTTGCTTTCCTTCCCATCCTCCAGTTCCCACTGTACCCCCAGTCCTGGGACAAAGACTCCCACTGTAAAGCAAAGGAGTAGCTATAGTGAAAGATTCCCGAGTCACTGCCCACGTCAGCTGCCCCTGCTCCTGCAGGCTGTGGCTTGTGTGATGGCAGCTAGGATTCAATTCCATGATTTTTGAATCCCTCCTCTTATGGCACTAAGTCCTTTGTGTGGACACACTTAAGCCAGATAGAGTGGCCAGGAACTAATCAACATAAATTTATAAAAGAAATAGAGGTGGAACTCTGCTTTCCTTTTCTTTTTCTGTGTTTCTTCTACCTAGAGGTACAGTCAGTCAGTTTGATGACAGTACCCAGCTGGTTGTTAGCTCAACCCTACACAGAAAAAAATAAACTAAAAAAAGAAAAAGAGATTATCATTTGTTCTGCCCTGGGTAATCACAAAGCCTGTTCTCAAGTACCTGTGTAAGCTCCAAGTAAGTCCATTGTAATTTCCCCTTCTACCCCTTCCAGCATAAAAGACACATTATAGGCCTTTGCTCTACAGGACCATACTTCACATGTGAAGGACTCGGAAAAGGCAAGGTAGGACTCCTGTAACAGCTGTAACTCAAACGTTTCTGCACACATATTATTTTTAGTTAATATAGATGGTGTTAACATTAATGCCTTAACCCTTGAGGAAGAGAGCTAATTTCCAGGTCGATATGGCCAGGGAGCTGGCTAATTTCCAGTGTTTTGGGGAGAGAGCCAAGAAGTGCAATGCCAGGGTGTTTCTGGCTGCTGGTGTTCCTGAGTGGACCACATCCAGGTCTGCACTTCATCCTGGGTTTCCAGCCACTGTCTGCCATCCCACCACCCTCTGTGTGCGCCGTGGGCTAAAGTGTCTTTAACAGCTGGGCATTACCAAGCTGCAGCTGTGGATTGTGATACTGTCACCCAAAATGCCTAGAAGGGGACAAACTGACTGCTTATTAACCGAGCTGTACGAGGCATGCAGCTTACAAACAACAGCCACTGTGGTCTAGGAGTTTAGTGTGAGTAAGATGTAGCAAAACAGTGACACCATCACCCATACACCCAGTGTTGTTACTGACATATGGGTCTAACCAGGAAAAGGCTGTGGCAAGCAGGCAGGAGAGGAAAAGGGAAGGGAGACTTCAAACAGCACAGCACAGAGAAAGAAAACCTTGCATTCGTGCTTACGTCAGTAGCCTGTCTGTATGCTGACCCCAGGCTCACCTGAGCCTTGGCAAAGCTCCCCTTTGTTCTGTGTTGGCGTTCAGAATCCAGAGTTATCCACCACTTCGTGACCCATTCCACCCAGACAGCCTGCCCATGATTGCTTCATAAAGCAAGACCAGGAATCAAAAACAGGGCATGTTTCCTGAGTAGAGATGGAAAACAGCTGTGCTGGAAAAAAGGAGGGGTTTTCTGGCTGAGCAGTGGAAAATACAGATCAAGGCCTGGTTGTGCAATCTTCTCTGGCTGGCCTTTGGCTGCTATTGTGGCAAGGGGACCAGCTGGACTTGGCAAGAGGCTGCCACCCGGTGATGGGGGTAGTAACAGCCTCTTGTGACAAGGCTGGAAACCCAGAGCTTAGTTCTGCACGTTTTACAAATGCTTGGGAGGCTGAGAATTGACATCTGGTGATGCTGCCCTCCCCAGTGTCCTGCAGTCAGATCTGTCTGGCCAGTCCCAGATGGTGTTTGAATGGCCAGGCCTGTTAGTGCAAAGACACAGAGCTCTGTAGGGCTGCAGAGAAGCAGCATCTACCCAGGTGTGAAGCTCAGTTCTGCCTAGTGCTCATAAAGTGTTCCCTGTGCAGCCAGAGCCAGGGGATGTGGTTATGTTGTCTGGCCAGGTTCCTGTGTCTGAATCCCCAGTGCCTGACTGAGGACTGTGAAGGGAGACTGACCAAAAGATCTTAGAGCTTGAATCTGCTGTGCCACTGCTGTCCTCTGAAATCAAGGGACAGCTATGTCCTGACTTCACTAGCCTAAAATGCTGCTCATTTCAAGCGTGGCTTCTGGAAGAGATCTTGATTTTTATCAAATTCAAAATCTCTAATGAAAAGTAAATGGACCAATGAGTCTGGATCCAGAGACAAGGGGTGCAGGATTCTGTCTGGTTTTTTAAAATCTAATTATTGTGTACAAGAAGGAGAGAATGGGCAAGAAAAGAGAGGGAGAATTAGGCCTTTGCTTCAGAGCCAAATTACCCAAAAAATTACCCTCTTCTGCAGAAAGAGCCCTGCAACATCTCCTCTCCTCACTAAAATGGGGCAAAATGGTGAGAAGGCAGAAGCAAAGGAGGTAGGCAAGACCATGAATCACCTCCTGGGCCCATACATGGCAGCTACATTGGCCTCTCTTCTTAGCACCTGGAACAGAAGACAGCATGATGGATGTTCTTTACTCTGCAGTGTTGGAGGAGACCGTGCTTTCCTACAACTGGCTCAGCTACTGAGCTGAAATATATGGATCCAAACCTTGCTCTGCAGCAGCTTCCAACAGTGTTCATCACTAAGACAGCACAACTGCAGGGCAAAAAAATCAAACCGAAAAGTGATCATTGCTACAGAGCCATGAAGGGAAGGAAGATGTGATATGGTGACCTGTAGCAGGGAGGAAACTGCAGAATTTAGGCAAGAGCAGTGCCCAGAGAAGATGCAGAAGGAAGCAATTTTGCTCCAAATAGCAAACTCTGGAGTATTTATGATTCTGTGCTGGGGGCTGAACACGATAAGCGCACCCCATGAAAGGGGTGAGAGACTTAAGGCTCTGCTGAGAGCAGCCGACCTCTCCTGTGAGAGATCCAGTTTGATTCTTGAGGTGCATCTTATGGGGGGCCTTCTGCAGCACAAGAAAAGAGCAAGACAAAGAACAATGCATTTTGCAATGCAAGTGCACCTGATTTGGCTATTACTGGTTTAAGCCAGGTCACACTAAACTACACAACAGGCTTTGCACAAGTACACACAAAATCAATTTGCTTAAACCTGGACAACTTTGTAAGACATCCAGACAAACAAAACTCAGATAGATACACAAAATGAATAGTTAGTAACTGCTTTGGCAGTCTTAGGCCTTTTGAAAACATAGCATTCACTTGCAGATGAAATCTCTAGTGCCTCAGTTTATCTTCAATACAAAACAGGATGGAGGCATATTTTAGAAATAATTTGCAAAGTGAGATGCTAGTCTTTCAGCCTTCACTGACCTGAAGTTATTCTTTATTAAAAAACTGTCCTTCCTTTTTAACTTCTTAATGTGGTATTAGTCATGATTCTTACGAAACATTCTCCATCTGTATCTACTCAGCAGAGTCCAAATGGGACCTCAACAGTGGCTGAAACAAAATTTCATTAAAAAAAAATTTGTTCCCATGGAAAAGTTCCAATTTTGATGAAATATTTCCTGCAAGAAAGCAAAAACCAAACCTATCATTCAAAGGTTTGACCCAATGTCTGCTCTTCAAGAGGGAGAAGGGTAGTGGAGAGGAAGCAAGCGAGTGCAGGTTTGGGAGAAAAGAAATCCTACCAATAAATGGGGATAATGAAAGCAGAGGGAAGAAAGTACAAATTCCCAGGCATTCCAGACATATCTGGTATCCTTTACATCCTGCACTCTGCACTTCAGTTGTACATATTTCTGTGTTCCACTGCAGAGGCAGCTGCATTTCAGTTGGGAGTTACTGTATGAAGAGTTTTGTATAGTTGTTACAGGATCTTATGAGATGAAAAGGAGCTGACCACAGCAAAGAAAGTAAAATAGAACATGCAATCTTTTAACTATGCTAGAAACCACTTATGCCACAGAGAAATGGATGCCAGGAAGCAAAAACTTCCAGAAGAAATTAGAAATAAAAGGGAAAAAACAGGAAAAGTCACCGGTAGCTGGGAAAAGAGTGCAGGATCATTACCACATCTGAGATGTTGAAAAACAGCCTCTGGTTTTCTGTAGCTCTTCATCTGTTTTTCTGTTCATTTTTGTCCTTCTCTTTAACCTTGCTGGGTAAAACACATCTCCAAGGACAAATAAAAATGATTTTTCTTGCTAGTGCTGCTGACTTTGCAACCTGTCAAAAAACTGACTAAACTTGAAGCTCCTTCAGTCAGTCACTTTAAAATACAGTCAGCCTTGTGTTTAAAGAAAAAAATGAACTATATGAATTCAACACCAGGGTTACTCTGCTGCATATTACAGCATTCTACTGGGCTCTGGGAGGAACAACACAACTGAGGTAATGAGTACTGTTACAAAGGAAGTGCTGCAAAATATTAGGCTTGGCAACTGCAGTGTAGTGAAGATGCTTTATTTGTTACAATTAAATAGGTATTTTATCAAAGAATTCTTAGAGAAAAAAAATTGGCCTGGGAGCCAGAAAAAATACCATTTAGAACCCAGGTTCAGGAAATGTGAATTAATTTTTCTAGGGTCATATTTAACCTGCCCAAGGAAAAATGACTGAATTTTAACACTGTAGGAGTTGTAATCTGCAGTGGGTGCTTTTGTCATCAATTACATTCATCTTCTCTGGAAGCATTTTCCCCTTTTACCTGCACCATAGGTGGGTGGACAGCTATAAGTTATATTAGGAAACTTTTCTGCCTCAGCTTCTTCGCTGCTCCTCATAGTTACATTTAGAGCCCAAATAGTATGGAGGGATTTGTGGACTGGCAGATACACCTACCATCTACTGTCTCTGCCAAACGCTGCTTTCAGACTATGGTTAGGACAAAACAGGGGTGCCTTTCAAAATCAGCCTCATCTTACTCAGGGTCACAACAAAAAAAAGTGAAATTATGATTGGTCCATTATCCATTGCCTTCATAATTTCTGTGTGCCTGCCTGGCCCATACAGTTCATCCTTTCGTATATTCTAACAAGTGTCAGATTTTGGCTTATGAGCCAAGTGCAAAGGTGCATAAAATGTGAGGTTGAGTGTCTTTTTAGGCTGTGTATGGGGTGGGGGTGGTCTCTGTGAAATAGCTGATTCAAATCCCTAGGCAAGAATAAATGAAAACATGGAGAGAGTCAGCTATAGGAACAAGGTGAACCCTAGAGCAAGAGATGCAATTTTTCAATCAAGCTTTTAATGAAAAGATCATAAAATAACAGTTTCTCATCACTGTACATTAAGACTGCAAATTTCTGAATGCTGAGATCATATTATAATTTCTGTATCTTTTTATATGACACTTGAGTTGAAGCCACAACTATTGTGGCTCTGACCTGAATTCAAGCTCTTGAAGGAAATGAACAGAACATTGCAGCAGGAATGTCGGCCTTTTCCTTGACCTCCCCTCCTTTCCTCCTCCCCAGGAAACATCCAGGGCTTCCAGACTGACTGATAGTTAAGGCTTAAAATGAAAAAAAACACAACCAAACAAAAAACAAAAACCAAAAGGGGTGATGCAACATCCCTTTTTCAGTTGTATCTAAAATATTAAAATAAAATGGGGAAAAATATCCAGCCAGCAAGAACAAGATCCTCTCCTCATAGAAAAGTTATCCCCAGCCAGTCAAAAGTCCTGTGGAAGGTCAGAGGAACAGCTGTGCTGGGAGTGCTTCGATTGGTAA